GATGCACAGAGATGACAGCCAGACGTGAGGCGTGGGCTCGTGTGGGTCCTGACCCACAAACCCGACGTTGACAGACACGGGGTACCTCACGGCAAAGCCTAAGAGCCCTGCCCGACGCGGTCCCGCCGTGCAGACCGGCGGCCCGGGGCTGCGGCCCTCCACACCTGACGGGGCAGCAGGGGCCGGGGGCTTCTGTAAACCGTCACAGCAGCCCCGCTGTGCTCGTGCGGTGCCTGGATTTACAAGGTTACAAGGAAACTAAGGGGACAGTGGGGAACTGGAGCATCAGCGCGTGCGTGAACGTAGGGGGATGAAGGACACAGGGGCTGAGGCCCGGGCTCTGAGCCCAGTGCAGAGTGGAGATGGCTCCTGAAAACTCACAGGACCGGGTGGCCGTGAGGAGTCCCACAGGGGGGCTCGATGGTCAGTGGCACTCGATGGTCAGCGATGGCGGCACCAAGCAAGGACCCTAGATGGGCAGGGTGACAGTGTGGCTCGGTCAGCTCAAGCCACTGTAACACTTACTCCTCCCAGTTCTGGAGGCCGCGAGTCCCCGGTCAGGGTCCAGGAAGATCAGTGGCCCGTGGGGGCACATCCTGTCCTCACAGGGCTGCCAGCTCCCAGGTCTCTTCTTACAAGGGCCCTAAGCTCGCTATGAGGGCCCCTCCCACGGGCCCCACTCCTAATGCCATGATATGGGGTTAGGCGTCACCATATGAATTGCGGGGGTACAAACAGGCAGTCCACAACACAGGGAAAACCCTAAAGCAACCCCCCCGGGGCAGTCATCCCCTCTCTGCCTCACCCCCAGCTACACACATACACGTGCGTACATGCACACACGTGAACACAAGCACACACATACGTACATGTGCACATACACACCAACGAAGGCTCACCAGGGAGCGTCCCCTACCCCACTGGATGGGCCCCCACAGCAGGGCCAGCCAGGCAGGAGGGGAAGCTCACCCGCGTCTCATTCCTCACCATGGGGCTGGGGCTTCGGGCAGGCAGGCAGAGGCTGAAGGACCTGGGCCAGGCCCCTGACCTTGCTCCCCCCTGGCCCTGGCTTCCGTGGATCCTGGGACATGGGGCCCAGAGGCACCCCCAACATGAGGGAGCATCAGGCTGCAGGTCCCGGACTCGGGGTGCCCAGCAGCCCATCGGTGCCACCGTAGACCCAGGCTCCTCTCCTTGTCCTCCTGCCCTCCCTGGCGGGGTGGCTTGTTTCGGGCTTGGTGGCTTGTTCCGGGCACATGACATGTGCTCAGGCCAGCACCCTAAACTGGAAGAGGAGGGTGACACTAGACAGCCCTCTGGAGGCCAGCTTCCCGGGCCAGGCCCCTCCAGCTCACCGGCAGGAAGCACCCTGCTCCAGCCTCTGCCCTGCACTCTGCTCCGCATCACTGGATGGTGGGCTCAAGAGGGGCAGCCCCTCCTCACGTGAGGCGCCCTGCTGCCCTGCCCAGCCATCTGCTCCCTTGGAGGCCCGGCCGGCAGCTACAGCACCCCCAGATCCCGGCGTCCCTCAGTTACTCACATTCTCTTTGCACTGTGTGAAAAAGCTTTGCTGGCCTCAGTGGGAAGGGAGACTGTTGCTGCTGGCCGCCCTGGCTTTGCTGGGGGAGGCATGCATGTGGCCAGGTGCAGGCAGGCTGGTGTGAGCACAGCACTGTGCTCGTGTGAAAAAGCCTCCGTGCTGGCACAGAGGCGCACACGGAAATGCACAAGGCAGAAGTGTGCAAGCACATGGCAGAGGCAAGGTGAGAGGCCAGACAGCCGGCAGTGTCGTCAGGGCTCATGCTCCTCTGAACACTGGAAATAGTCCTCATAGAAGCCTGTCTGCTGGAATCTGGACCGAGGCAGACTTCGGGCCTCCCCCTCAGTGCCCCAGGGCCCCTGCAACTTTCCTAACATTAAGCAGCAAATCGACATACCTGCCAAAGGCGCAGCCTTTCTTTGGGAACCAGAGGAGCAAGCAAGCAGCCCACACCCAGGAAGGGGCGGGCCAGGGTGAGGGGGCTGCAGTTGGTAACATTTGGGGGCTTATTTCCAAAAAAGAATACAAAGCTACAAGTACAAAATTAGACACAAAAAAGGAAAGTTAAAATAAAATGAGAAAAGAAACAACAAAGACTTATAAAAAGGAAATACGGGGGCCAGCCCAGTGGTGTGGTGGTGAAGTGCGAACGCTCTGCTTCAGCTGCCCGGGGTTCACAGGTTCAGATGCGGGGCACGGACCTATGCACCGCTTATCAAGCCGTGCTGTGGCAGCATCCCATATACAAAATAGAGGAAGATGGGGCACGGATGTTAGCTCAGGGCCATTATTCCTCACCAAAAAAGAAAAAAAGGCAATACCGATAAATTTCACAAACTCCAGAAAAATAACAGCACTTTGCTGCCTGACACATCTTGATACTTTTTCCTGTGTTTCTGCACTGAACTTTTCCATCACCTTCTCATGACAATAATTTCACAGTATCACTTACTATCCAGAAAGATAATTCAATGTATGTTGATTACTGATGGTTCAGGAGTTCTTTGAACTTAACTCATGGGTGAAGCCATGTGAACGCTGAGGCTGTGTCAGGGCTGGGAACCCCGGAAATGCCTTCAGTTCACAGGCTGGCTGTCGGCTCCCACCACGCGCTCCCAGTGCAGCAGTGTGGCGCCTAGCCTGCTCCTCACACCACGAGCCAGAATAGCGGGCACAGTGGGTGCAGGGGGTCACAGGTGTGTTCCAAAGTCCTCCCTGGCTGCGGAGAGCTGGCAGTAGCTTAGCCATGCTCAGAAGCAACTGGAAACACCTAACGGTGACCCCTGCACTCGAATCCGACTTCCCTTACCCAGAGCCTGGAAAATCCCAGCCAGGGGGACAGGAGGGGTGGTGAGGTCACCACAGCGGCTTTAGCCAGCTGTGGCCTACATACTTTCCTTTTGCAAAGTTTACAAACACGTGACCACGCGCACACAGGAGTGTGGAGGGCCTGAGTCCTGCACCTCCACATTGGAATCCTCGCCAGCAGTTGGTCACCCAGCCCTGCTCCCCTCTGGGGAACTTCAGGTGTTTCCCGGGGAACCAGCCAGCCCTGCCCAGGACATCCGGGTCACCAGCACCCCAAGGGGGTCCCCAAAATGAGAATGGGCAGCTGGGAAAGAACCAGAAGAGCCAAGGGAGGGATGAGTCTGGGGGCTCAGTAGTGTCAGTGTGGTGGGGACCCCGAAGCTGCAGGCCCAACCCACAGGTCCGCCCAGCTCCTTGCTGCTGGGCACGTCAGGGCTCACGCTCTCTGAGTGTTCTATACTTCTGAAGGAGGACGGAACAGACACCACAGCTACTACTGAAACAGAAAAAATATTTTAAAAAGATAGAATGCTATAAAGACACAAAATACTGCTTTAGGTTTACTCCTTATAAAACACAAAATACTTTCAACAGCTGAAGGAAGCCATCGTGGCTGTTGAGAGCCATGCCCCACATTTCACCCGCAGCTTCCTGGGACCCTTGGAGCCCAACCCCAAGGGTAGGTGCCACAAGAGCTGGGCGGGGGGTGGGTGCTGAACGAGGGGAGGGGGAGCGGCACTTGAAGCCTGCGTGTCGGGAAAATGAACGTGTCCCCTTCCCCACGCCAAGAGCAATTCCTCTCCTACTCCAACAGGCGCCTCAGATGAGCCGGCTGAACTGAACAGGAAAACAGATCCACTCGAGGATCGTGACGTGGAAGATAATTAATAACACACTTCCACTGTGTTGGATAACTTTTAATAAAATGAGGTGTACATCACTGATATTGAAACGGTCATATGCACAAGAAACAAACCTTTCTAAGGAAACAGGAAAGTGTTGGGGGCGTGGGGGAGAGGACAGTCTTACTTGTAAATCTGAAAATAAGATCTCGAGGCGTGGGCGGTCTCGGCGCCCGAGGCAGGGTCCCAGGGTGCACACACTGCACCCCCAAGCCCTCTTAGACGGCAGTGCCCCGCCAAGCCCACCATCAGTTGCCCTCAAGATCAAGGGCATAAAGGACATGTGTCCAGATTTAATTCTGAAGAATTAAAGAATTCTTAAATTTAATCTTAAAGTCTTGTCCCAGCACCAGTTTAAGCGTGGGCACCCTCCAATTGAGCAGTACACAGACACGCACCCTTCCTGAACATGGCTGGCACGTGGCAGTCTCCTCGCACCTTGGCCCGGGGAAGGCAGGTCCAGCAGCCTGGCTGGCTAGGGGGGTCTACAGCACGTGCCCGGGGCCTCCTGAGGGGCCCGAGAGTCAGATCCTCAGGAGGCACTGCCCCAGATAGCTGACCTGCGCCTCCAACGACCCTCACGTATAAATAGGCATAAATAAAACCCTCCCCAGTCTGCGCTACGTCTAACAGAGACGCGGCTCGCACGCAGATCTGTGACGACACCCAGGGACGAAGGCGCCGCGGGGTGAGGCGCTCGAGCTGAACGGCGCTCTCCCTGAACAGAGCCAATGGAGGCTCAGGCGCCGGTGGGAGTGAAGATCGCGACACACCCGCTGACCCAGAGTGCAGGGACGCGTGTCGTACAAAAGGCGAGTCCTCGTTTATACCGTAAAAGTGAACACACCGACTGCAGCTGTTCAAGTTATAAACGTTTCTAATGTAGCAGCAGAAGATGTTGATAGAAAAAATATAATTTTAAGAAAATAGCTGAAAAAATCTAGAGATAAAAGTATAAAAAGTTTAAAAAATAGACCTTAAGACAAAATATTGCCCAAAATGTATAAAACTTAATTTTAAAAAAGTCACCTATCTAAAGTTAAACGATGCTGGATGCAGCTGACGGCGTGCCCTCCATGGAGCTGTAGCGGGACACAGGGGGGACGAGGGCCCGGGGCTGGCAGGAGGTCGGCCAGAGGAGGACCAGCCTGCAGGAAAAGTGCCCGGCCCCCTCGGGGAGGAAGCGGAAGGGGAGGTGGGACACTGTCCTCCCCGCAGACAAACCAGGGCTGACCCCGTGGCGGGGGCAGGCGCACTCCCAGCCCCGACGCTCTGGGTGTTTTCAGGGGCCTTCTAATCCGGCCACTCCCAGTCGTGGGCACGCAGCCGGCTCAGGTCTCCACCAGGATCTCCACCACGTGGTCCAATTCGCCCAGGTCCTTACAGCTGGAGCCAGGTGGCGGGGCGGGCGCAGAGGCCAAGGCATCGAGCGTGTCACTGTGGCCCGACTTGGCGCCACCCACCATGCCCGTCAGCACGGCGTCCAGGTCATAGTAGGAGCTGTCCACGTCTGAAAACAGCTCCTCCACGGCACCGGGAGTTTTACTGTCCAGGGTTTCAAATATCTGATCTAACGACTTCGGAAAGCTCCCTCTGTTTTCTCGAGGGCTGTCCACTTCCCAAACGCTGCTCTGTGGGCTCTGCAGGGCCGGTGCAGATGGGACCACGGAGAGTTCAGAAACCACGTCTGGCGCGTGGCCGTCCCCCAAGCCAGGGCCAGGGGGCTCCGCCTCTCGTGCTGAGCGACACAGGATCTCCGTGGAGACGAGGCGGTCGAGTGGCGCCCGCCCCACCGTCTGGGGCGCCGTCACCCGCCAAGTCCCATCCTGGGTCATCTCTTCCTGGATCTGCCGGACTGTGTTGGCTATGAGGACCGAGCGGCAGAGGTTGGGTTCGACCAGCATGTGGCAGAGCTGGAGCTTGACCAGCGACATGTCCAGGAGCGACTGCCGCTGCAGGCTGTAGGAGGGCGCAGCCCGGAGGGCGGCCAGGGCTCCTTCCCCGTCCTCCTCGCCATCTGCGCACTTCCTCTTCAACCCCCGTGCAAACATGGTGTCCTGTGGAAACCAAGGAAGAGGCTGTTTAGCACATTTCAGGGTCCCCAGCAGACAGTGCCCCCCGATTCAGTCCCCGACTGTCAGAAGTGACCTGTGGCAGACAGGGACGTGGGAGAGGTGGACAGGCGGGCGACTCAGGATGGCCACATTCCCGTGCGTGAGTCTTTAATTCAAGCACGGCCACCTGGAACCCGTGAAGGTTGTTACGGACGACACATCTCTAAACCGCAGCACGACTGTCTCCATCAGAAAAGATAACCAGACTAAACACAGGAGGAACCTATCTTTAAAGGGCTGGCGGGAAACTCGACACCAAATCCTCAGCGTGGGTGCAGGTGAGGGAAGGGACTGGCTGAAGCAGGACGAGCGCACCTCCGTGAGGCTGCAGATGGGACAGAGCGTGCCAGGGCGCCCTGGCCACGGGGCCGCGGGACGCCTGACGCCGATGGGCCGTGGGGTCCTTACCACTGACAGGCACCCCTGCGCGTCAGCCGGGCCGGGTCCTTCCCCCTCAAAGCCCTCACCAATGAGGGCACTTCCACCCGGTGCAGACGGCCCCACTGGAAAGCTGCCCCAAGGCCGAGAGGCCAGCGGGGGAGGAGACACAGGGCACATGCCCCTCATGGCCCCTCGAGCTCCCAGCTCGAGTTCACAGTGCCACTGGGGCCGCCTGGCGGCACAGCTCACGGCAGCTACGTTCCCTCCATCCGAGGTGCGGGGCTCTGCTCCGCCAGGCTGCTCTCCGCCTGTCAGTGCTCACGCTCCACTTGGCACAAGCGCACGACCAGGGTCTCCGGGGCCACCTCACCCCCCCAACTCCCTCTTCCCTCGAAGGATGCCAACCGCCACAAGGGCAGGGGGCGGGGTCCTCCCCAGGGCTTGTGGCAGCCCCGGCTCACCTCACCCAGGTGGCATCGTGAGGGGTGGGGGTGCGGGTGGATGGGGATATAAAGATTCCTGGGCCTCACCCAGACCCACGGAGGCTCTGGGGTGCGTGGCCCGACACAGCGTGTTCGCTTATCTCTACTTAGAAGCAAAAGTATGAGGAAGCTACTCTTTTGAACAGATTCTTTTTTTTTTTTTTTAATTTTATTTATTTATTTATTTTTCCCCCCAAAGCCCCAGTAGATAGTTGTGTCACAGCTGCACATCCTTCTAGTTGCTGTATGTGGGATGTGGCCTCAGCATGGCTGGAGAAGCGGTGCCTCGGTGCACGCCCGGGATCCGAACCCGGGCCGCCAGCAGCGGAGCGCGTGCACTTAACCGCTAAGCCACAGGGCCGGCCCTGAACAGATTCTAAGTCGAGAGATCTTTGGGGAATTAAAAAGTGGAGCAGGACGGGGCCAGGGCTCCAGCTGCTTACCTGCACCACCTTGCCGGGCGCTGGGAGGACATGGAGCCAGCTCAGGACAACCGGCCGGCAGGGTCTGCCACCCCACAGGCATTCATCGTGGACTACCCTTTCCAGGAGAAAGTTAAGCCGTAATGCACTAAGTTCTCTCTTCCCAAGGTTGTACGGTAGCTAAACATCTCTATCTCAAATAATTTCTTTGAGTTCTTCATAAAGAGGACTGGAATCTTCTAAATACGCAAATTTCTGGACTGTGTGTGTGTGTGTGTGTGTGTGTGTGTCTGTGTGTGAGAGGAAGACTAGACCGGAGCTAACATCCGATACCAATCCTCCTCTTCTTGCTGAGGAAGATCGGCCCTGGGCTGACATCCGAGCCCATCTTCCTCTACTTTATATGGGATGCCGCCACAGCACGGCTTGACAAGCGGTGCGTTGGTGCGCCCGGGACTTGAACCTCGAACCCCCAGCCACTGAAGCAGAGTGCGTGCACTTAACCGCTGTACCACCGGGCCGGCCCCATGGATTTTCTTTTTTTTTTTTTTTTTAAGATTTTATTTATTTATTTTTTCCCCCCAAAGCCCCAGTAGATAGTTGTATGCCATAGCTGCACATCCTTCTAGTTGCTGTATGTGGGACTCGGCCTCAGGATGGACAGAGAAGTGGTGCCTCGGTGCGTGCCCGGGGTTCCGAACCCGGGCCACCAGCATCGGAGCGCGCTCACTTAACCACCAAGCCACGGGGCCGGCCCTGGATTTTCTTTTTTTAAATATCAATCCTGTGGCACCCTGTGACTGCTGCTGGCCTATCACCACAGCATGCCCAGGGGCTCCCCGAGGACGGGGCAGGGGGGATGCGCACCTGTGCTGTCCGAGCTCAGGGCCCAACGAGCAAGGACGGGACAGTTCTGCCATGCCCACCCGTCCCCAGGAGCCCCTCTGGAGGCTCACTCCTGCCAGCCCTATCCTTAAATAGACAGAAGAATGTCCTGTCCTCTGAATTCCCTTCAATGTCGTAGATCTCTCCTCCTGTGCACGTAACATCTTAAAAAATTAAGTGACTCTTGGGCATTTACCCTGGAGAAATGAAAACCAATGTTCATCAAAAACACGCACAACAATGTTCCCAGCAGCTCTCCTCACAACTGCCCCAAACGGGAAACAGCACCCTTCAACGGGGCGTGGCTGACACGCTGGTGCAGCTGCGGCACCACACGGCGTGGAAGTGACCGGTGATGCCGCACTTGGATGGACCCCGAGGGAATCACACTGCGTGAGAAGGCCAATCGTAAAAGGCTACACACTGTATACTCCCATCTCCGTGACACCTTCAAGTGACAGCAACGGGGTGGGCACAGCACTAAAAGGGCGAGCTCGGGGAGACCTCTGGGGTGAGGGAACCCCTCTGCATCTGGACTATAGAGGCGGGTCCACCAAGCTCTGCATGTGCTCTACTGCACAGAACCACGCGCATGCACACGCACACACCATCTCAATCAGCTCTGTGGCTGCACGGAAGTCAGTTTCCTGGTGTGGACACTGTGCTGTGCATCTTATGTAGGCGCCAACACTGGGGAGGCGGGGGAAAGGGTGTACCTCCAGGACATTTCTTAGCAACTTCCTGTGGATCTGTAATGATTTCAAAATAAAACGTTTAAAAAACTAAGTGACCACAGCTTATTCCCTCCACAAGACTAATTTCCCCAGAACAGCAGACAGGTCTTACTTATCAAAACAGCCCCTCAAGCCACTGCCACTTTTATCATAATAACACCCTGTACACACCAGCTTATCAACTATTTTTAAATGAAGGAAAGAGTTTACCACCAAAACACTTTAAAAAATTTCAATTACCGCTGGTCATAAAGGATTCAAGGATTTTTTGTCTTGGCTGCAAATTTAACTTTTACAGAGTATTTTTTCTCCCCAATCACTTGTTTAAAAGTTACTGGCTTAAAACTGCTAAGTATATTGAGAATATAAGATTATGTCAAACTGTAAAAAGACACCCTGTGTTGGGGGAAAAAATGAAGTTTCAAGAGTTCCTCTGGGGCAAGTCACTTCACCCCTTGGCATTTAGTATCTCTTTTCAACTAAATATAAAATTCCAACTCTGCTTAACAACTGATTTAATTTAAGGCCCAAACCAAACTCGCTTGAATAACATAATTAAGCCCTAGTTCCCAACAGAAGAACTCGGAGCTGCCTTCCCTCTGGCCCCACACAGCTCGGGTCTACGCATTTAGGGTCCTAGCAGAGAGGTTCTATGGGAGGTCAGCAATGCCAGGAGGGGCTGGTGGGGCAGGCCAGAGACCCACAGCTTCCACTCCAACTGCGCAAGAAGCTACACTGAGCACCCAACCCCCACTTGAGGGGTCCTTAGCAAGCCCGGGGCAGGAGTTCATGGTGGTCAACCCACGGGAGAACCTTGAACCAGAGGCTGAATTCAGTGCCGGCCACAGCCCGGGGTGGTCAGCAGCCCTGGGCACACATCGCTGCGAGCCCCGAGAGCGCCCCTATTCATATTTGCTCTGAGAGACTGAATATACACAAGGACAACGGCCAGATCCATCCAGGACGCCGACCCCTTACCTGCAGCCACAGCCCAGGATGCCGACCCCTCATTATGGGGACAGCCGGGGCAGCAGCCTGCTGTCTGTGCTCAGACCTGCAGGGAGTCAGACCTCTCTATCTCCAGAGACAGCCCAGGAAGTGAACAACCACCCCGTACGGTCGCCCCAAACCTCCAGGGCTTGATCAGTAACTGACGGCTTCCCTAATGTTTGTCCCCACTTCCAGCTTAAGACTGACGGGAGAAAGACAAATGCGTTCCCCAAGCAATCACAGGACACCCCGCTTCCCCAGACCCCCATCAGGTGCCCCCGAGTCCCCCCAGTTCCTATAAAGAAGCTTTCTATGCATAGAAAACATTTTAACATTTCAACATATACATTATGATATGTATTACATGTACACGTTATAGACGTGCGTACAGATATATTATATGCACATAGTAACAATGAACACATGTACATGTAACAACACTACAAAGGCTCCCATAACGACCCCTGGCCGCAGTAGCTCCAAATATTCAGCCTTTGCCTTTCTCACAGGGTTGCCTCATTTTGTCTCTGCAGCTCACTGTAGAGAATTGGGAAAAGTATCAGCAAGCACAAACCATCCCCCGCAGCCCCAACCGCTCGGAGGCATCGCACAAGCTTGTTCTTCCAGTGTCTCCCCTGACCACTTTCTTCTCTGTGAATCTGAGAGCTCACTGCAAGTTCAGCTTTTCCTGCTTATGACATTTTCCATGTCACATAAAGTTTCCCATCACTTCTGACAGCCTCGCATTTATCCCAATGCGTAAACACAGGACGTGGTACTGACCCCCTGTCCACAGCCTTTACACCGCACCCCATCTTTCCAGGTACCGGACGCAAGGTCTCACTCTGGGCACGTTGGCATTTCCAGCACTTTATTTCTGAGAGCTTCTCTGAAGACAGGGGGTGGGAGCATTTTTAAGGCCCATGACACACATTACCAAGCTGCTTTCTAGGAAGGCAAGACCTATTTACCCTCCCCCAGTTCCTTCTGCGTTGATTCTTTCTGTTGATTCTTTCTCGTTTGCTGGTAAGCTCCCCCTCCGCTTTCCCAATGATCCAGCACCAGCTACCGCCTCCGCCCACCGCACCCCACCGAGCCCACCACCCTCGCTTCTGCCCAGCGTCCACCATTAGCCTGTTTCACCACCCTGCATGTAAACAGGTTAAGATTTAAAATAAGCAAGTTGAAGGGGTCCACCGTGGTGTATCTGACAAAGGAACACTACTCAGCAACAAAAACCACAACCGCATATGCAACATGGATGAATCTCAAAACACCAGGCTGAATCAATGAGCAAGAACAAGAACAGGCACCGTATGATTCAATTTATAGGAACTTCTAGAACAGGAACAGCTAACCTGAGTTGTAAAATAGCAGAATGGCTGCCATGGGGGAGTAGGGAGCAGAGAGAACTCTCTACAGGACCATGAAATGCACTGCATCTAGACGGACACATGGGTTACACAAGGATATGTACCTGTCAGAGTTCACTGAACAGCACTACTACTATCTGTTCATCTTATTGTATCAAATTATACCTTGATTAGAAACAGAAATACATAAATAAACAAGTTGATGGGTGGAGGGGCTACCACACTACTTTAAATCTAAAACCACCTTAGATACAATACAGCTCCCGTGCATCTCACTCAGTGCTCCGACGGCATTCAGCGGGCCAGGACAAATACACGTTCAAAGTCATCCTAAGGTACTCCTCTCCAACGTGCCAAACCCTGAGCAACCATTAATTTCTGTTACAGTCAACACAAGAAAATGCTGGCAGACCTATCATGACAAAAAGGAACAGCTCCAGGGCAGTTCGTCCACCGCACCGCCGACATGCCATCGCCTAGAGCCTGTGCTCAGAGAGGTCGGGCTGAGCCCAGGAAGAGGTGGCCTGCGAGGACCACCCTCCTCAGACATTTGTGTCTGAGACCAAGTCAGCGCGGAGTCCAGTTCTAAAGGGACCCTGAGAGATAACCCTGTCTGAAGGGCAGAGGCTGGGAACAGCTCTCTATGGGCGGTGTGACTGTGGCCTGAGGGCGCTTAACCCTTCTAACACGGGGTGACACAAGGCCCCACTAACTGCAGAGCCTGACTCACTACTAAGTTCTGAACAAAAACATGTTCGGTATCACTCACCTCCATTATCTCCATTATCTCCGCAGTGGGCCAGGTCTTGCTGCATATCTAGTGAAATGCTCAAATCTCACCAACTCCTAGGTTTAACCTGGTGAAATGCTCAAATCTCACCAACTCCTAGGTTTAACCGTGTTCCGCTTGAGACCCTCCAGCGTCAAAGGCGACAGCCGGGCCGTCAGGGTTTACCCCTCAGTCAATGCCCACACTGCCCTTAGGCCTTCTCCAGACCAAGCACTGACAGAACAGAGAAAAATGAAGAAGAGGGACAGAAGGACTGAGAGGTTCCACATGGCAGTGGAGCCAGGGAGGGGCGCTGTGCCCGCCCACCCAGAGCACCCCCAAGGCAAAGGGGACAGCAGCCTGGACCCCGCACCCATCATGGCCGGGTGGCCCTGCCTGCAGCCTCTCACACTGCGAGGCGGATGGAAAATGCAGATCCCCAGATTCTGAGCAGGAGGAGGCCTGGTACAGACTCCCCTCTCACATGACCTGTCACCAAGACCTTCAGCCACTGCCAAGAGCTCTCGTGATCCTCAGGCTTTTAAGGCAAATCAACACGAACACTTTCAGTTTCTGTCACACATCAGATTTGCTTTGAAATCCTTCATCAGAGAAAAACAGCGGGAGATGTAGAAAGCCTGGCAACGTTTTGGGAACTGCTGCATGTGAGTTGGGGTGTGGGTCCATCATTCCACGACTGTCTGAAATGTTTCATAAGCTGTTGCTAAAAAGTTCTCTTCAGGTACTTCCATCACTTGGAACGAAAGACACAAACTTTCTTCACCGGGAAACATGTTCCAATAACAAGCTGATGGAAACTTTCCAGCCCTCCTTCCAAGATAAAACCTGCCACTCTTTCTGAAAAAACGTCACAACTGACTTTTTATTCTGAATTTCAACTTTAATTATAAAACATGGAAAACCTGAAAATAAGGAATAGTTGTATGCAGGAAGTTTATATGACATTAAACTTAATTCTGTAAACAATTTTTCCCTTGGCTCTTTTTAAAAGAAGGGTCGACTCAGTCCCGCTGTCCTTTTGGCAACACACAGGCCAGCAGAAGAGGAGACCAGCCAGGGAGCCCTCCGCTTAGACCACAGCATTGCCCAGCAAACTGTTACCTCATAGGCTCTTTTCCTGGTCATCCTATTTTGGGGACAATAAGCTTTTGTAAAGGTAGAGTTAAGCTTGCCTCTGACTTCTGGAAGGAGTTCCTGGTACTTTTCCTAGTCATAGCACCGCTGCCCCCATCTGACAGTGCAGCAGGGCAGGCACAAGGAGCCCGGGGGGAGACACTTCACCCGCCACGCAGGGTCTGGGAACCCTCCTCTTCCCACATCCTCCTCCCATCCCTGACGTCAGCCTCCATGGACCAGGCAGCTGAGGCCAGACTGCAGACCACCCAAGGCAGGCACCCTCCCTCCCTGCCACTCCCTGCCCAGCTGAAAGAGAAGTCGCATCAAGTGCACTACGGGGGAGGGAAACCATCGCAAAACAGCCTTAAGGGTCCTTTCCCAAGAATTAACACCAAGAAACAAAGGAGAACTCAAACTGAACACTCACAGCCCGCCACAGGGAGGCCACTCTGCCCTCCAAGGTTCGGGGGAAAGGTGCCCCAGACTGGGCCATTTTGGAAGGCGTTATATTACCAACCTAGTTTTGCTAAAAGGACCTAAGATGAAATTCAAGCCTTCCATTGCTAACATCCACCACCCACTCCTCATTCTGTAAGGAAGGCAGATTACGAAGGAAACCTAGAAACAGGGCCAGGACAGATCACGATCTGTGGGTGGACTGGCGGATGAAAGGAGGGCCGGATGGACAGGTAGGTGGGTGGATGGACAGAAGCACGGATGATGAGTGAGGCAGCAGGGCAGCTATGGGTCACTCTGGTCAGGGCTGTAAATTCCAGTCGGCCAGACAAGAGGCCGACTGCAACTGCTGCATCTGAGTTGGTGTGTGGGGTTCATCATTCCACTACTGTCTGATCTGTCCCCACAGGTCTCCACGGGGGTCTTCGTGGGGACCAGGCGGGAGCGACCGCTAAAGGTGCAGGAGGAGCAGGGGCAGCCTGCACTGCCCTCCTCCAAGCCAAAGGGAAGAAGACAGTGCGGGGGCTTCCCTGCGGCAGCCATCACTTCACAAGCAGCCCAATACCCATCTTAAGAGTTTCTCCTCTTAAAAAGAGCCCCCAATTTGATAAAGCCAAGAAGGAGGTGTTACTTTTTGATTAAAATGGTGCAGGACAGCACGAGAGGCACTTCCCAGGTGGGGGATGGCTCGTCGTGCGGGTGGGGGACGCCGGTCCTCCGGGTCGCGCCCCCTCCTCCCACCCCCAGCCTCCCCC